ACACACAAACAAAAAACCTAACTTCAGCTCCCCCCCTTTTTTTTCGTAGGCCCTGTGCGGCCTCAAATTTTTGTTTTTGTTTTTTTGTGGGTCTTCATGCGATATCCCACTCGTGCCTAAAACACCCCTCCCCAAATTTTTTTTTTTCCTCGACCCCTTATTTTCGGGGTGCGCGGCACCACAGTGCGCGCGCGTCGTGAGCTGTGCGCGGTGCAGCGCATGTCGATGCGCCGCATGTATGTTTACATTACTTGGATGGATAAATCCCGAGAGAACTCCTGTGTTGATCGGATAAATAAAAATTAGCAAGAGGATCCCTAAGAGACGATGAAAAAAAACTTAAAAAAGTAGATAGAAGATATGGAAACAGTTTTAACTTTTAACAAGTATGTCAGCAATCAATTTGTCTCGTAATTTCAGCCACCACTGCAAACCCGCCCTCTGTTAAACAGCTGAAGTGGCATGAGGTCAGTGCTGCCAGGCACAGCAGCCTTCAGTGGACACGTACGCACAACCACTCAGACGACCCCATGCTGAAGACCTTGGTTGGGAGCTTTCAAACGGCATTCCCTTGAAAAACAAGGGAAAGTACGCTCTTAGGGATGTTTATGCCTTTTTATTCCTTTTGTTTTTCTGAAAAGGATTCTCAGCTACCTCAAATCAAATGTAATAATCGGAGTCATGACATCCGTGTTCTCCCATAATTGACCACATCCCCTTCTCCTTTCCTCCTCCTCAAACGCTGAAGGGTATACCATACATCCACTTCAGATGGTGTGCACTTGTATTTGAAAAGTTCTGGTCCGTCAATTCGAGTACAGGTTGAGAGGAACTTGGGACTCATGAGGGGTGGGGGAAGAGCGCAAAACTACAAATCACGCTGCCCAACGAAAATAAAAAGAACAACGACAACCTGGGCACAGGTTGTTCCTGTGCTCTGCCAGCCTGGGAAACGACAAAAGAAAAGAAAAAAAAACGCCCAGAACAACAAAAACCGAGCCACATGTCCCTGGGCGCAGGCGGGACATGGTTCAAGCTGGACAGCATCATGTAAGACCCACTTCAGCTTTAAGGGGGGAGGGGGGAAGGTGATAATACAGTTAATAATAACTTAATGCTATAAATAGAAGAAAAACAGGGCAATCCAAGACAAAGATCTAGATCATGTGTGAAAGACTTCACTCCAGATTAAAAATAAGAAACTCTTCTCACGATGTCACCGAGTTCACAGAAATTTATAAATTTTATAAAACAGTGGTAGGTTTTTTCTTTTTTCTTTTTTTTTAATAGAAAGCTGTCTTTTAGGTCAGCTGGTAGCGCACATAAGTAGCATTCAGGAGGTCGTGGGTTTGATTCCACACATCATCCAGTCAACTCCCCACGGCCCCCTGTGGCGCACTTCCGGTCCATCCGGTGAGATAGTTCGCTTGCCCCCCCTGGTTGGTCTTGGTGGGGGATGCCCTCCCTCCTATCCAGCTAGGGTTCAACCCTGACGGGGGTAGGCTCAACCTTGAGGGGATAGGTAGACCGGGATACACGAAGGGAGCTTGCTCTTCCCCGAGCTTTCTGCTCGTCAGGCATAATTTAATTTATGCCCAAAGGGTACAACGTTGGTAGGTGTCAAAGCAGCCGACGACTGCTTAGTTCGCGTCACCCGACCAAGCGCTGATGGATTCGTACCGGTCATGTATTGCGATACGCTCTTTCGAGTCCATCCCAACATCTGCATCTACATTTACACTATGCGGGTTTGTCACGCTTTTTGCCATTGGTGGAGAAATGCCTCTAGAAGGGTGCCAGCTGCTGCATTTTGCTGGTGGACTGATGAGAGCTCATCCCTTTTGGTACAGTGGCTCGAAGACATGGTCAAGTCTGACGGCCTCGCCGCACCGGAAAACAGAGTGAAAACCAGAAAACAACCAAGAGAGGGTTTAAAAAAAAAAAAGCAAGGACCCGAGGCTGGCAGTCCCACTCCACTCCGGGGTACTACGGCCAGGGAGGTATGCAATCCTGGACTGCTTCTTGGCCGGGAAGAAGGAGACGATAGGTAGGGAACGGGGTGGAAATAAGGGTTCGTACGGTAAGAGCAGAGGGGACTGGGCGGCTTACGACAGAAGAAGCTAACTTGGGCAGGGGTGAGGGGTGGTATATCCTTCCCGAAAGGAAGTAAACAATGTCGTCCACTCGGACCTCCCAAACCATAATCGGAGGAGCGTATCGTGCGTACTACTGTATTCTTTTGACTCGCCGATGGAAAAGGAACCGGACTGCTGCTCACCAGAATAGAAGGAGGCCTTTTTAAAATAAAATAAAAAAAAGGCAAGGAAGCATGGGTTCACACAAGAAAACAACCAAAAGAAAAGCCACAAGGAAGCATGCATTCACA